CTATCAGTGTTGTTCTAAGCAGCTATACATTGAATTTTACAAATTGGCAAAACTGATGACAACAAAACATGGTCAAATGTGTTTAATTTTTAGTAATTAAACGTTTAGGAGGTATGATGAATCATTTGTTTTACACGCAATTTAGACTGTTTTTTAACCGAAATTATTTTGTTGGGTGGAAGATTTTTACTTAGCATGTTAATCAGGTAAAAAATCAGCTTGGTTTCAACTCTTTTTCTTTCCAGGCAAAAATTAAAGAGCTTTGCCTTGATGTAGGCTAATTTATTATCCTACTTTTTTTATCTCTAACACATTAACGTGATTGTTACGACCATTGAAATGTGGACCAACTTTATATTACTTATTATTTCTCTTTTTTCTATTTTTTTTTTCTGTTTTCCACGCAAATCAAGTGCTATAATTAATCATCAGAATGGATAGAACAATAAATCAAATAAAAGCTCTTTTAGTCGTAATTCGAATAAATAGTTTATTGTAGAGGATGAATTGATATTCAAAATTAAAGCATTATCAGCCTGGAGTTGATCGATAGAAAAAAAAACTTTCTAAGAACTGTCCGAGTGTCGAGAAAAACTGGTTTGAATTTTCTTATTTTTAGTCTCTTTTCGGACGAGTGAAGCTGATTATAGGAAGTTAAGTCTTGAAACTTCAGTTTAATTTCAAAAAAAAAGTAATTTTGGAAGATTTTTTATGGCGCTATCTTGAAGATTAAAAAACATCAAAGTTTCTTAAAAATTTCTGCAAAAAATTCAAAAAAAATATATTTTTTCTTGTAATTTTCAACTGAAACCGTTGCTCGATTTGCTTTTTGTACTGTGACTGTCGAATCTGGCGTAGGTTTATAATTTTACCAGATCTTTTTATCACACGACTCAAAAACCAACACTATTTAAAAAAAAAAAGAATCATGAAAAAGTTGAATAGGTTTTTTATGAGTATCGTCGAAACGTTCTGTGCTATTTGCACAGCAAATGGCTATCCTTGTTTCCATTGAAGCACTTGTAGAGGTATATTTTTCCAAGTTTATATTGTTCCAATTTTCGAAGAAAATGTGGAATTTGTATGCCTGGGATGATTTTTTGTAATCAGACCAATTTCACAACTACAAGATGATAGCGTATGATAGCAATATTTTTGGGTTGATCAGCGAGTATGCTTGCACTAGACTAAACTGTTTCGCTGCCCGAATAACAAATGAAGCCTCATTACGCCAATTGTTCATCCGCACTTATAAGTGTTGCAAAGATAATTGAGGCTAACCAATAAATCATATTAAGTCTACTCAAATTTAGCTTCTAAAATTGTTATTGGCTGTGCAGAGTTCGTCTGTTTTCTATTTGAAAAAAGCTAATTTAAGTTAAAAGGCAGTCGGAACACTAAGGGTTTTGCCCTGATATTTGAAAAATCTTGTTGGTCTATCTGTACATAAGCAACTTCGGAAAATACGCTAGCTGGCGTCCAAAACTAATAACACTGCAATTTCAATCGTCCATAGATAAGTAGATAAGCGATTGCACTGTTTTTTGAGTTGACTAACAAAAACTTGAGCGAAACATTGATTATGCTGCAATACCCGTCGAGTTTACTAAAAAAAACTTTAGAGAAAACAAACAATTTTGATCAATGCCGTTTCTATCCTGAATCATGTTTCCATGTTTTTTCTTCACGTAAAATATGCTGAACATCATAAACTTACCAGCAGTATGAACTAAAAAGTAAAATTATAGAAAGTAAAAAGTGAAAATAGGAAGTTGATCAAGTTGACTTGATCAACTTCCTGAAGCTCTCCAAATTTCTGCCTAATTGACTTAGATCACACGAAGATCAAATTGGAGGAAAAAAGCTTCTTAAAAACGGTTTCGAAAATGAATTTATAAAATATTATCTTATTTTATCTTTGCTAAGTACAGCTTTCATCCTTTTTGGTCGACCAACCCGAAAATTCATAATCGCCACTCAGGTCAAAGTCTGCGAAGTCTAAACATGAGTCGGACAAGTCTGAACATGAGTCTGCAAAGTCTGAACATAAGTCTGCAAAGTCTGAACATAAGTCTGCAAAGTCTGAACAGTAGTCTGCAATGTCTGAACATAAGTCTGCAAAGTCTGAACATAAGTCTGCAAAGTCTGAACATAAGTCTGCAAAGTCTGAACATAAGTCTGCAAAGACTGAGCATAAAGTCTGCAAAATCTGATTCGATCCGTGTGCGGACCGGAAATTCATAGTCACCAGGCAGGTCAACGTCTGCAAAGTCTGAACATTATTCCATATTATGGAAAAACTGCTTATCAAACGATTCCATGCAATTCCATAGAATAAAAAAATCGTGTTTAAATCACATGATAAGCGTTTTTTTCCATACAATGGAATATTTGGATGGGTATTTTTTTTCATTCAATGGAATTGTATGATAATTGTTTTTTCCATTCAAAAGAATGGTATGATAAAAATTTTTACGGACGAATTTTGCTTACAACTCAGTTTCTGATTGAGCAAAACAAAGAAATAAAATGAGGCAAAAACTAAATCTGAGCCCAGCCCAACGTGCCTGTCTCTCAACAGAAGACTGAAACTACAGAAAATTTTAGAGGTTTGAAATATAATTATAGTGTTTTGTATATATATAAACGTAATTATAGTGTTTTGTATATATATAAACGTAGTAGTAAACAGTTATTAAATAAACATTAAACAAAAAACAAATGTGCTCGTATATCAGGGCGAAACCCTGAATGTTGCGATTGTACTTTAGAGGTAATAAAAAGTAGTTTTTGATTGAATAAATTACTTCTTTCATTTTAATTAAATTTAATTTCTTTTTATTTAATTTTAAAATACTTCATTCTTTTTTTTCTTGTTTTTTAATCTTTTTATCCCCCACACGCTATGAATGAAAAATACATGGGGTGTGTTTAGCGATCCATTTTTTAAATAAGTTTAAACTGCTGGCCTCAATTCAACTTGGAAGTAATTAATTACGCATTTGGAAGTAATTAATTACGTCTCTTACGCATTTCTTAAGAACGCAATATATTGTGCAATAGTTATCTCAAATTGGCCCAAATAGCAAACTTGAAACCCCGTCATTTTGCGAAGAAGGACCAATCACATGTGAAATTAAGTTCAAGATAAAAAGTTTTTTAGATGGCATAAAAAAGTTCCGTCAAAAACGCTTAATTAACAAGTCGAGAATTGACTGAATAAAAAAAACCAGCCCAAAGACACAATTATTCCGCTTTTTCTTCAAAAGTCGGAATAATAAATTTTTTTTTGTATAATTATGATGCCAAAAATGCTCTCATAAGACAAAAACTGAATTTTTTTTTTATTTAAAACTACTTGAACATAATTTTTGTATAACCAATTTGCTTGAAAATTTATTTCTATGGTAGCCATATGACAAAACATTTTTCAAAGATTCCTTATATGAGTTTAGATGATAGGCAAATTTCTTCTGTGGACGCTAACTTAGGTAGTAACACTCACACTGTACTTTTAAGTACATGGCGCTACTATGTGAGTCTAGAAACGAGTTTTTGAACCAAGTAAATTGTCCAGATCTACTTAACAACCTCCCTCACTTGGTTTCTACCAGAAAATTGTTGTGAATTTTTGTAACTACAAATAGCGTTTTTTAATATTCAAATTTTATGCACTCTGATTGGCGGAAGATAAGCTTCAAATAATCTACTTAGCAATCTTGCCTCTTTCTTGAAAGGAGAACGATTGTTAACTAGATCTAATGTCCAAAATTGCGTGTTAATTATTCAAAATTGGCCAAACTAAAAATTATCCCCATAACCTAACCAAAACAAACAAATGGCATTTATATTAAGAGGGAATGCGAGTTGTAATTTGAAATATTTGTTGCGCGCTTGGTTTAGTTTCAGCATTTTCTTCCACTCAAAACATAAGCGGCAAACTATTCCAAGATCATTTTTTTTGTTTTCAAAGAAAACGGAGTTTTAAAGAAACGTATTGTCAAAGAAAATTTGTTTTCAAAGAAAACGTAATTTTCAAAGAAAACTGATTATTTATGCTTCTTATTCAGTCATTTTTTGGCGATCGAAGAAATAGTTTTCAACAAAAAAGGTATGCTCCAATGAATATATTGACTACCTGAAATCAAGATATTTTATCTTGAAAAAAAATATTTTACATCCAATCATTTTTTGCAAGTTTTGAAAATTGCTATTTTGGCCAGGCTCTGGACTAATTTATGTGTGCTTTGAGATTTTACTCATGATCTTGAAAGCGTAACGCGAATTATTTATACGTGGCGATTTATCCCGCCTAACAAAATTGTTCCAAATTGAATTGAGGCTAGCTAATCTGTCGTAATAATTTCGTGCGACAGATTAGCGGGATTTTTTGAGCTTTGCCCCGATATGCGAGCAGTCTTGTTCTAATATTAACTCGTGTAATCTTTTATTGGCGCAAACATTGATGCAAGACATTTTTTTCACGAACGAAAGGACCGACATACGAGCTACTGCGTTCTCTACGGAGACCACTGTCCTTTGTTCAGAAATGAATGCGTTTTTGTGGGCTGGTTATTGAAGCACGCTCAAGCAACAAGCACGGATCGTAGTAGGCCTCAAAGTTGTGAATCTCGAGTAAAAAGCGGAGACTTAAGGAAATCACCATCACTTCTCAATTTATTATTGTTCCGACTTTCGATACGAAAGTAACGGAATATTTGTGCTCGGGTGGTTTTTTTTCGCCCTGATTCGAGCAGTCTTGTTATTTTTAAAATTATATTAAATTTGAGTAATTTTGTTTTGCTCCGAAGCCAGTTTTCTAGCTAGTTTGACATTCATGGCAATACAATGGGTGAGCAATATGGAAAATTTCGTCGAAAGCTCTAATTTTGAGAATTGCAGGGACAAAAATCATACTGGAAAATGATTATTTTGGTAAGTCGGAAAAAATTGTACAAAAAGTTGGAACAAAAAAAAATTGCCGCAGAAAAACATCCGTACAATGTAGAAAATTTTATTCTTGAATTCAGACACAGAATCAGCACATATTAATCAAATACTTCTCAGTTTGAATTAATTATTCGACTGAAACTGAAAAAAAAGCTCCATTTTACTGGAACGTTTTTTTTTTGGTTTTTGTACGATAATTTACAACCGTTCTGTATTTTCAGAACCATACATGTCATAGAATCTCTTGCCCCGCATTGAGCTCCAGTTTCGCTTGATGTTTTTCAGACCTCTGGAGTAGTGGAGTAGCTGAAGATGTTGGTCCGGATAATCTTTGGCACTGACTTTGTGCCAGTTGTATGCTAAACACAAAAGACATCTTACATTTGGGCGGAACTCTCAAGATTGAAAAAACTAAAGATGAAGGACTGTAAGTCAAGTTCAACATGTTGACCCTATCAAAAAATACTGAAATCTCATCGGAAAAATCCTACATTTGTCCCAGGCTGCATGTCCATACCAACCGTCTCTGTTTAAATCGGTGTTTTTACAACTGCAAAATATTGAAAAAAGAGGTTTTAGATTTCTCTATGTGCAATATAATGTTTTGAAACCAATTTTTCCGTGATCAAAATATGCATAACAAAAACCTCGATTGTTTTAGCTGCAAACTATTATTACAATTAGGCTAAAACGATCATTCATTTTCCATAAAATGATTCAATTGAAATTAGATTTTGCCATTCCCATTTTTGTTCCGATTTTCGAAGAAAACGAGAAACATATTTGCCTGGGGTGGTTTATTTTAATTCAGACCGATTTTACAAAGTTGAAAGCGTATACTTATCGAATCATAAAAGAGTAAGCTTGATCTAGACTAAAATAGGGCAAGTTTCGCTGCCCGAATAATACATAACAGATTCAAAATACGCGTAATATTTACTGCTGCCAATTTTTTTCCACTTTTGATCGTTCCAAATTGGTTTGAGGCCAACTAAAAGTTATCATATTAATTCTGCTCAATTGGAGCCTTTGCATTTGATACTCGCATTAGAAAATGTACAAAAGTTATTCGAGGTCAGTTAAGGGGTAGTCGGAACATTCAAGGCGTGTTTTGAGGAGCTTGTTAGAGCAAGGGTTATTCGAGCAGATTTGATTGGGTTTTATAATAACATCTTTTTCAATTTTTTCCATCAAAATTGTGTGCAAGGCAGGAAAATGTCTGTGGAAAAATCCCACTGTGAAAAGATTTTTCAAAAGGTCAACCGTATTTTGTTCAAAAAAAGTAAAAGGTTACCGAATTAGGTTGAACCTGTATAATGTGTTATAGTAGTTCATCAGTCGGTCACGCATTAAACTAGAAATTTTATCTTCTATTTCATGAAATGTTATTGAAGTCTCCTTCTGTATTAAGATTAGAGGCATCTCATTCAAGACTATGAAATTTATGTCTAGTCTTCTAAAAAATAATGGAAATTGAAGTCGAAGGAATTTTTTATAAAGAAAGACCTAATTAAAAGATTTTTTGTTATGCTTGCCGAAAAGGTTCAAAAATCTCTAAATGTATCTTAGACAAAAAATCTATCCCAGAAGGTTTTCACCTTTTCTTCCATTAGTGTTTTGTTATTAAAACTCCCACTGGGAAAAAAGGTTAGATTGTGATGTTTTATGTCAAAACAGGTAAATCAAGGAACTTTTGAAGGTGTCGTGCATTAAGTGCCGTGTCATATTAAAGCCATTCAATCGTGATTTGAATTTCAAAATAAAAATTTTAAAAATGCCTGTAATTTTGTCTCATTGTCAAGGTTTCTTTTGAATTCAGTACTGATATTCTTGAAAATTGGCTCCATTATTAAAAAAATGATTTCCCTCAAATGTTTTAATAGTTTTGTTGTTAGCAATTGTTGGCGCTTAAATTAATGACGTCATATCGCGCGAAAGTTAAGAAGCTAAAATTAGCTTTTCTAAGACAAAAGGCCTGGAAATTACTGGTCTGTCCGATTACGGTCAGTTTGCCATCAAAAATTATCACAGATTTTTGAGATGGTTGAGAACGTTTTGATAGCATGTTATTCGGAAAAAGTTTGCCTTATTTTTTCAAATATTATTCGTTTCATGTTAATCTGCTTAATGTTGCCGATAATTAACAGATGTTGAATCAGGTTTTTTAGAACCCGAGTCTTACAGGATACGAGAGTGCGTCAAATTTTGGTCCGCCGACCCAGAATTGAACCAGGGACCGGAAATATTCGTGGAAACTATTCCCGGACACCTTCGCGACTATTCCAGGAATACTCCAATTTGATCGAATTCGGAAATATTCTCTTCCTCCATTGCCTTTGCGAGCAGAAACGAACAGCAGCTGTTGTTTGCGGACAGAAGGCCACAGCTGTTTCATATCTGGAGGCTGCACTGGGATCACAGAAACTGCCAACATCTGCACCGAAAGATGAGAGAAGAGCAGTAACGGAAAAGTAATTTTCAAATTGATAAAGTTCGGAAAGCACAGTTCGAAAAAGAGATCAAGGAAAGAAAAGACACCCCAACAAGAAGAAACGCAGGCCCTCTTACAGGTATTGCGTGCAAACAGATTGTTAGTATGGCCTTCTTATAGGTATCGCGAACAGATGGTGTGTTTGTAGAGACCTTCTTACAGGTATCGTGTTGGTGATTTTTTTTCTCGACACCCGAAGTTTTAGAGTTCTACAGAATGCTGAGTGACTCTTCAAACTTTGTAAGACAAAAAACAAAATTTTAACCATTTGTGCTTATTGATAATAAGATGCTTAAGATTTTCATACGAGGTTTTTAATGGCAAAACCGTACGCCTCGATACCAAAACTTGATCAGAAAATTTTCTGTGAGTTTTTTGGGAAAAATCGGCCTCATAAACCTTAATTACGATATTCTAACACTGTGTATGTAAACTCAACACCGTATATAAAAAATAGACCAAAAATGGTCAAAAATTTTTTCTTTGTAAAGTTTTTAAAATTTTGCAAGTTTTTAAGGAAAGCGCCTAGTTTCATAAAAAAATAATTCGAACGACTGAGTCGTTTTTTTGCGCAAGTTTTGGATTTTTGAAACTCTCTAAAAACGCAGCGGTTCCTCTCGAAACGTGGTGTAATTAACTAAACTAGTTCATTGGAATCAACTAGCCGTAGTCGAACCCCTTAGGGTATTATCAAGCAAGTCGTCTTACTTTTTGCTACAACTTTGTTAGCTCAAGGTGTTTCGGGAGGTCAGGTCGGCTTTTGAATGGTTCCCTCCTTCTAAAACTAGGTTTGAACCTAATAATGTTCATACTAGCTGCTAGCCCGCTGCACCAAGCTTTGAAAATACTTTCGCCTGTTTCGCAAAAGCGTTTATCGCAATCGGCCATAGCCACTCCCGGGTTAAGTTTCGACCATAACGCAATAAATGTCCTCAAAACTTGTCAGTATCAACCTGATCACTATTTGTCTAAGCAAAAGGACATTGTTATTTGGCACGAGACCGTTGATAACTCTATTAGTAGACACTATAGTAACAACTTAAACGCAATAAAACCCAACCAGATTAAGAAGATTCTTTCAAACTATAAGTAAAACTTTTACGCAATCGTTTACTGTAAACGTATAGGCACGAAAGATTTTTATAGTAATTTGAAAAAGTCAGCTAAACTGGTTATTAATATAAAAACTGATCTGATATCTAGAATAAAGCAGAACCTCACTGAGTATTGGTAGAGTATTGGCAGAAGCAGCAAATATATGTTAAGGTAATTGCTTCTCTAAAGTGTAATATTGTTTATTGAGTCATAATATAGTTTAATGAAACTACCGCTAAAATCAAATTTAAATTTTTTTTTCAAAACAGAGCAATTGAGTAGAGCCGAGCGAGTATATAAATATTCAAAAGGACAGGACAGTCTGAATTAAAACTCGACGGTTGATGAATGATAGAACATCACCAGAAGAAAATTTTTTGTAGTCCACAGTCGCATAAACGAAAATTTAAAAAGGCCAAGTAGAAAAACGAAATTAAAAAGGGTTATTTGAATTTTGCATGAGCATACTCAAAAAATGCATTAGCTAAGAATGATAAATTTGTAATACTAGCTAATAATTTTTACCGAAATTGGCTGCATGGTGGGATAGGATAAATAAAAAAACGATGAAGTGATTGGTAAAACTCGCGCTCTTATGGAATCTAAACCGGCTTCAGAGGTCTGTGTCAGTCAAACAAGTCATTCAAAATTTTCTTCAAAATCGGTAAAATCAGGGTTCAGTATGCAAAGCTCAAGGAAACCATTGATACACAGTCAGCGCCTGAAAGAACTGCTCCTAGCAAATTGAAGAATTTGGAAAATAACACGAAGCAACATTATGACTGAAACAACAGGAAGGCATCATCAAAGAGCAACAGCATCGGATTTAATTGGAATAAAAAAAAAGAAATAAACTTGAAATTGACTGTCAAGAACAAGAATAAGGTTTACGAATGGGAAAAAATCGACTTGAAATGAAAAAACTCAGCAAAGAGAATCGTATTAATGTAGCTGAAACAAAAATGGTCGAAACTGGATACTTCGAAGAGACTGAAACAGATAAGCACCTCGAGCTAGCTTCGTCGGTTGAACGGCAGTCTGAAAGGACAAATGATTGGGTTGATCATGCACTAAAAAATTAAGAAGGACCCGAGGTAGTTCCATCATCTTTGAAGTTTGTCACAGGTATAAATAAGGAAAGTGATACGCATCAAGACAAATGTCTCTACGGCGGGAAATTCCCCTCGGTCATCATCACCGAATCAGAAACGGGGTTGTCACCAACTAGGATACGTCTATCAACCAATCATTTCGTTCAGCGATGACAACGGAATCACGAAGGCTACAACCGCTAATCTTTAGCACGAAGCGCAGTCATTGCCTAATTCAAACAATTCTGCCATTTACGAGAACAATACAACGCGTTTTTTCCCAGTTGTAACGGAAGTTATCAATATCTCGGTATGTTGTATCTTCTTTGTACCCATCCTTCAATTTCGATACAACATATCCCTGTCAATAACTTTAATAAAATTGCGCGAACCGTTGGAAACTTGCCAGCCATCTCCAGTCAAAACACTGGATACACCCCTTCAAGCCATTTTGTCACAGACAACTGCAAATTCGTTTTGCGGAAATCAAACTTTGGTACCACATTATGTGTATGGCAACCCTGCGGCAGTGAATAATCCGTTCAGCGGACAGTCTGCGGTTATAGGTCAAACGAACGTGCCACCAATAACCCAGCGGACACCCGCAGTCGCCCAATGTGACACTGGTGTAACAAGTGATGGTAATACGAACCCGCCAGTTGGTGTTTTTACATCCGTAACG